CTAATCCTTTAGGGATGTATTAGTACTGTCGGTACGTCTATTGTATTTTAGTAGGGACAGTAGTTCCCATTTGAGTTTATTATTTTGGAACTGTGGTTCCATACTGTGTTCCGTTATTACGCGTTTTCATTATCTGATGTTTATATTTCATATTTAATATTTTACCTTTTGTTGTTATATTTCGTTTTATTTTTCTTGTGTTCAATAAATCGGGCCGGTGCGTGGGTTCCGTGCTTTTAAACTAAACCTCAGATCTGTTTGATTTCTCAAAGCCCCTTTAGTGTTGTTTTGTTGTTATTAACTTTCAGATTTTGATTATTGTCTCCCAGACCCAGGACCCCACCGCATAAGAGCTGGCCCGGGTGTCCTTAGGAGACAGCGGTGTATCTGTGGTTATACCTGGCGCCCAATAATTTAGTATTTTATTAATTATTTCTCGCGGTGCCATTTATTTGTGCGATTCGTCGTCACAAAAATTGGCGCCCAACGTGGGGCCACGTTGAAAGATTTATTTTTGCTTTTAGTGGGGAAATACTGAGGTTTCGTTGCGTGAAATATTACTTAAGGATAGGAAATCGACTTTCTTACATTTAAAATAATTTTCCGGTGTAGCGTCCTGCGGAATTTTGAAACGTTGCTCGAAGAATTCGACCTAGTGAAGGAATATTCTAGAACCTTTGCAACATTGTCGCGCGTAGAAGGTTGGCGTCTTTTGGCGGATCGTGTGTGTATCCGTGAGGCCCATACGTATGATAGGCGCGAACGTGTTGGTAGTTTGGAATAGTCTCGAAGCAAACAAGCGAATTCCGACATGGCAACAGGAGACTCGGGTAGGGGAACCATCGACACGCCGAGGAGGGCCCGGGACGACTTAGAGGAGGGGGTAGAATTTCCCCTCAAAACAAATGCTACGGGCGTACGTCCTCGTATACCGAGCGGTGTACGGTTGTTCGGAGATAGATGGCCCGATGCATCGCAAGGCCAACTCACCTTTAGGACCCCTACTACGACAACCATCACCTACACAACGGGGACTCCGACAATGACCAAACACACCTCCATTATGACTACCAGATCAATGGAATTGCCGAGACGCGGAACAGCGGATCCGGAAGAGCCAGCGGGGATTGATTGGTCCACGATAGATCCTTCGAGCGTATCGTCAGTGAATATTTCGGAGAATACCAGGGTTCCCAGGGCCATAATGGGACCTACAAATGACCAGGCTTCGCAAAAGACACATTCGGTTGCAAATATGCAACGAATACAAGACTATGCTAAGACG